ATCCATTCATTTCCGCATTCACGAGAACTAAACTTTCGCACCAACCTAATGAAATTCTCAATCATCATAATAAGGATGCACTCGATCACAAGTAAACAATCCAAGATCAATGCCAATAAACAAGATATCCTCCAACAACCGACCACAATGAACATGCAATGCTTGGGCATACATCAAGGCTCCAAGCAATCAATCACACTCACAAGCATAATAGATAGATTCCCCCCCTCCCTACACACACACTTAAGCTCGACATTGCCTTCAATGGCGTAAAATAAGGGGTAGAACGATGTTACCGCATAGCTTGGCGAGTGAAAGTCGGGACCGAATTGGACCGGAGATGAAAAGGAGAAAGATTCAAGGAGAAGAAAACAAAGACACACACACATGCTCGCGCAAAGAGAGGTTATTTCACTTAACATAAAAATAAGCACAAACCTATGTTGGGTTGCCTCCCAACAAGCGCTACTTTCACGTCATAAGCTATACGGTTGTTCTTCAAGTTTTAGTCCATCCAAGAACCTCCTTAAAGTTGAGGTTCTTGTCGGTGAGATGAAATCTCAAGTCACGAGCATTGGACGAATTCATGATTGAGGGCTGGTAAACTTGATCGGCTTCGAGGCTCCACCCACGAGAGCTCTTCTTCTTCTTTTCTTCTTCTTTCTCTTTGCACCACACCATGTAGTCCATCATTGATTGACTTTCATCGCATCCACCAAGAGGGATCGCCGATGGTTTGGCCTTGGCTTGACAAAGAGGCGCAAATGGCTCCTTCTCCAAAAGCGCATCAAGTCTCTTCCAGTCGAGTGTTGAGCGTTGCGAACTGGTGTGAGTGCCCTTCACCATGAGCCACCAACTCGTGAAGTTGGTTAGAGTGCGTAGTAATCACGTTTTCTAAACCGGCGATCGTCGATCCCATTTCCTTCTCCGAACGGCTGGTTTTCTCGATGAGATTGGTAAGGCGTTCGTCAATGGTGCCTCGGGTGTTCGGCATAGTGTCAAGAAAGGGCTCTGATACCAATTGCAGTATCCCTGGCTGAATCTTGGTGAGAGAGGTGTTTTGGAAGAAGGAAGAGAGAGAGAGAGAGAGAGAGAGTAAAGTTTCTTATTAGTTCATCCTTAATCGTTGTACAGTGTTCCCTCCTATTTATGCTGATTGTACAATTACCAAACCACTCCTATTGTTTCTCCTTTCTACAATCAAATCCAATTAATTACATCGATAAAAGGGCAGGAAGATGGACAGCGGCAAGTCGGGAATTGGAGAGAGAGGTCGCAGGAGTAGGAGGTATTGATCGAGTCCTAGCAGTGGCCGACCTTTTGTTCACGAACAGGGGGATTCGGAGAAGAAAGGGTAGCGGGTTGGGTGGGATATAGATAGGGTCGGCCATGGGCTGGGAAGGGTTGGGTCACGTGTTGGGTTGATTTTGATAAGTGGCTGATTTTGATGATGTGGCGGGTTGAGTATAAACTTTTTCAGGTTAAAATAAGTTTATTAGACAATTCTGTTAACCACTTCAACAAGGAAAACTAGCACCGTTAGCGGAAGTTGACGATTGACGGAGACTATCGGAGAGTGACCAAACTCAGAACACTAAACTAATTTCAGTGACGACGAATAAAATAAAATATTTGTAATGACAAACGTGATTGTTTTTAGCAATCCCAATGACCATCCTTGCAATTTACCCTTGTTTCTTTCTTTCTTTCCATTCCTATACATTTTTAACAATTGCTTACCGCAATTTACTTTTTTCCTTACTCCCAACTAGGGCTGGAAGTTTGGTACCAGTATTTGGGATATACCGAATACCGTACCGAATTTGTTTATATTTGGAATTATCGAATACATGTATTATTTCTTGGGATTGGGATTGCATTTCGATTGTTATTCGGTATTAGGGATTACGGGATTGTGATCAGTATATACCGAAATATAAGCTAGTGTGTATTTTATCCTATCAACTAGACTCTCTCATTCACTTCTACATGACCCTCAACCACCAAGAGTGTCATTTAATTATACATAGATCATTCCATCGCTATTTCAAAACTAAGAAGTCTCCATCCAACTCAATTTTGACTTTCCAAATTAAGTCACTCTCGTATCTCACATAATCTCTTGTTATTTTCATAACACCAAAAGGCAAACACTAGTATTAGTCGTCTCTCAGCTTCCAATTCGTCAAATTAAAAATTATCAATGACAAGAACTTGAGATGTCACCTCTCCTCTCCTCTATTCTCCTTATTCATATCCTAGCTCTAGGCAAACTCAAGATTATTTGCTTAGTCTCTTTGCCCTAAATTAAACAATCAAATCTAATTTATATATTTAATTATGAATTGCAAAGGTAATGAATTTTGTATTCGATAATACTGATTGGGATACCAAAATATTTAGAGATTGAAATTGGGATAGCGAACTTATTTAGGGATTGAGATTAATTTTGAGGATGTAATTTAATATTCAGGATTTTGATATTTAGTATTGGGATACCGATACCATACCGATTTCCACCCCTACTCCCAACTTTACCTGCGCCCTTATGATCCTCACCGTTCTTACATTTTTTACACTTCGCTTTGGCATCATGAACTGGTTTACCCTGGATCCCTCTGGGCTCTTCTTATGCTTTATCAACATACCCTTGATGACTCCCAATGAGGGGTGTACATGGGTCGGGTGGTTCTGGTTTAGCCATTATAATCATCCGACTCACGCACTACGGTTTGAGAAATATTAAACCCAAACCCACCCAAAAAATTTAAACTCTACGGTTTGTTTTTAATTGGGTTGGGCCGGGTTGACGATATTTTTAAGTAAAAACCCAACCCAACACAAAATATGTAATTATTCTACACCATAAAAATATTTTATAACTAATTAAAATTTCAAACGAATAAACCGAGGTGAAAGGTATCAAAATTCACAAATGTTGTTTGAATTTTAATAAAATGTGATTTACTTCAACATATGCCTAGTATTTTTCACGACATTTGTTGAAATAGGCTAAAAAGGTTATAAACGAACGCATTCATAATATGTTATTCTATTAAAGTTGTACACAAGAAAAATGATTACGTGAATCACAGCTATATTAAATTTATGTATAAACTTTAAGCCGAAGAATGCATTAGATTATTGAGACCATGAGAGAAAAACATGACGAAATTTCTTAATTTTCTCATTTGTATGGCTATATACGACATAAATATTTTTTGTATATGAACTCATATCAGTAGTTGGAACACGGGTTGGGTCGGGGTCTGGGGGTTGTGTAATCCAAAATCCAAATCTAACCCAAAATAGGCAGGTTGTACAAAATAAAACTCTCACCCAACCCAAAACCTTCGTTTTAGTGATAAATACACGTGAATTGGGTCGGATGGATCGATTTGCGAGTGTGTTTGTTCACCACCTACTCCCAATGTCTCCTCGCATCGCCGCCACCAGCTAATATTTCAGGTTCAGGGCCTTCTTCTTTATCATCCATCTCGACTTCCTCGTGTCCTTCCAGGCCGTGTTTGTTGTTCTTCCCGTCACCATCACCTCCTTTCTTCTTCGTCCTCTTCTCCCTATCTTCTTCCCAGCTGTTTCTGCAAAGATTCACCTTCCCTTCATATGATGATGCTGCTAAATCGCCCGTCTGCTGGGAGCTAACAATAGTATTATTATTAACATTCAGGAGCGACAGTGTTATCAAGAGAAGAGAACAACAACCAGCTGTTTGTAATAAGATGATGATGATTATGAGCCATTTTGGGACTGTCTGCTATATCCCCCTCCTAATAGCTTAGCCCCTTTTATAGCTACATCGACATTTCCAAATCTAAAAGCAACCTGAGTGTTTTGCTTATAGAAATGGAATGGCAAAATACAACTTCATAGTCATAAATATCCACTTTAGGACAATAATAACCAAATTCTGAAAAATACACAAATATAGCCAGCTTTTAAAAATTAGTTTGACAAATTTAGCCATTTCTATTAGAAACTTTAACTCCGTTAACTTTTTGCTGATGTGGACATACACGTCATCAAATGCAAACTACTTATCAGATCCACATCACCTAAGTGTCTGCCACCTCAGTTTAAATTATTATCTAGTTATTTTTTTTCCATTCTCCTTTCCCCTTCCTTCCACACGAGATCTAAAACGCAGACCGTCGGCCGTCACTCGCCGACCTCCTACCGTCGATAAAAATTCCGGTTCTAGAATCCCTCGTCCTCTCCTTCTTCTCTCCCGACGACCTCCCAGTCCCCACTACCCGGAGCTGCTATGAAAAGTAGCTTCTGCCGCAAAACCATCACATCTCTTCCTACCATTTTCATATCAAACCCTCCAAAAAACATAGTCCCCTGTTTTGACCCTTTCTCATTTACATATTCCCAAACCTAATCCCGACGACAATGTCGAACACCTGATTTCGTCAAAGAAAACCCATAATCAAAACCCCAAATTAACAATCATGTTTTCGTTGCCCATCCTCCTTATCTCCCCCTTTCCTGCAACAAAAATCCCAAAACCCATAAATCCCCAACTCTCCAGATGGACCTTCCTTCCTCGATCTGTGAGTCCGAGACATAGGAGACGGCAAGAAAGCCAAGAAGCCCCAACGGTGTCGTCGTTCGCAGTGGTGCTACCCAGATCCATTCATCATCGTTGGAAGCCGCCACGCCGCACGAGAGCAGAAACAAATCCACAAATCAAAATCTGTTATGGAAGAGGAGGGAAGAGCACAAGCGGTTGTCTTCGCCGCCATGGAGATGATGCATGGCTACCTTTGTCGAAGCCGGAACAGAGGTGGAGAAGTGAATCGGGAAGACGAGCTGGGCCAAATTGAGGGGTGAATCGACGGATGGGTGGATTGGCGGATGAGTGTGTTCGTTGATTGAGTGCCGCCTTCGATCTGGAGTGATGGGGAGGGATCTCAGGGAGAAGATCGGGACGGATCTAGGGTAGATGGAAAGAAATATTTTTTTTTGTTTGAATGATTAGCTTCCAATTAGCTAAAGCGGAGATGGAAAGAAGATGGAGGGGTTTCAGTGTGCACGACTTTTCAATTTTCTTTTTTATTATTTTATTTTAAATATAATTATAATAATAACTAGATAATTAAAAGAAACTTTTCCACCTGGAATTGATTTTAACGAAAAATTGACCACTGTCACTATAAAACGTTAGTACAGTCAGCATATATGACGTTGCCGTTAAATTTATGACGGAATGGCTATATCTGTGTATTTTTCAAAACTTGACTATTATTGGCACAAAGTGGATAGTTATGGCTATGCAAGTGTATTTTGCCAAATAGAATCAAGGTGTGTTTGTAAACAAAATCTGTTCACATGGTATTCTGTATATGTGACTCTGCAAATACCCTCTTTGCTTCTTCTGATGGATCAGTTGGAAGTTTAAAGTCAATGCCTAGAGAGCTTTTCTATTACAACTGGTTGGTTATTTCAACCTGAAGAAATGCCTCCTGATTGTCAGAAAGCCAGCCAGCAAGAGGTTGTTTCGTCTGCAGCATCTACTTATTACCATTTTGAAGCATGGTTACTAAAAGAAATGTGAATTCCAATAAAAGAAATGCAATTACTAGCTGTAAGCCTCCAGCAAAGTGCATCAACTTGAATACGGTAATCATAGGTGGCCCTTGCCGCGAGAATCTTATTCATTCGTGAGTAGTGCAGCAAAATCTGGTCACATTACAGTCATGGACGAAAATCACATAATAATAAACATCGAGGATTGACCGTTTGTAGATAGATAACATGGTCATAGCCACATAGGCAAGCAATGACTAGAAATATTCCCAGTAGCCATTACTTGAAATTACAGCAGAGCATAAAGCTTTACGCAGATAATTATTTGATGAGAATGCATCTCGCTGGCGATCCCTCAGCTCCAACCAGCCTCAAGGGCAAGCAATGAACATTGTACAGTCCAGCTTCAACGTTGTCAAGCTTCAAAGCTTCCACGAGAATGATTTCCTAGAATAACATAGTACAAACCACGGTTCTCCGCTGTTACTTTCCAGTTCGCACAGCAAATCTGTGTCATTTGACACGTTGATCAGGAATGAAAAATATAATATTTTTCCCCTTACCCTGCTCTTCAGGAAAGCTAGATGAGCTGAGCGACCGTTGACAAAGGCAGCAGCAGATAAGTAATCAACTCCTGAGATTCCAACACACCATAGGCAAATTCCTAATCTGTGAGACCATTTAATCTAATGTTGTAGAACTCAATTGGCAAGTTGAGATTTGATAGCTACTTTTCCAGGGTAAGAAGATTGAGCAACTTACCAACAAGTTTGATGTCCGTGTTGTCCACAAGCCACTGTGCCCCATCGGCCATGAACCCGACAAAGCTTGAATCGAACTCCTTGAACATCAAATGCCTGAAAGGAAACCCACAACCAGATTCACATTCTATTCATATGTCATCGTAGGGATGTAAAGGTTTCAATCTTCCATCTTTTACCTATCCGTATTTAGAGTCCTGAACAACACACGCCTAGTTCCTTTTGGGATTTGCAATGACTTCATAACTTTAGCTGTGGCAAAAAACAAGGAAACTCAGTTCACCAAAACAAATAAACTCCACAAACAAGAAGCTATGGTTACCACTTACCAGTAATGTTGCTGTCCCTGGGAACATCAACCAACAAGGCTGGGCCTGCAAATAAAATTGATAACACCAATCATTCTATAACTCCTCGTCTCAACAATTCCAATAATTGGAAAAGGTTGGAAGAGGCAAAACTAGATTCTATCCAGTATTGCAATCCAACGGCAACACCGCAAATCCGAGTACCCAAGTATAGGGAATCTTCTGACCACCATTCGAAAATCATTATTGGCAGCGGAATTTCATCGAGCATCTTCTGGGCAAGGAACTAGCTCGAAAAGGACAGGAACTAAAAACTCTCGATTCCCCGATTACCATTGAGAACTTCCAAGTCAAGAGTGTCGACATCGAACCCAGCGTCGAAGTATTCGTCGTAGAAATGGGCCGGCGAGTCCAGATGCGTCCCGGAGTGGACCGACATCTTGAACTCCGACCAGTTGGCGTTGGAGCCGTTCTTCAAGCTGGCAACCAGCCGTACCACCTGCCCCATTCCTTCCTCCGCCCCGTAAGCCGGCATCTCCTCCACGTACCTGTGGGTGATGTCGATGATCTTTCCACCGGAGCTAAGACGTAGGCCGCCGATGATGGGTGGGACTGGGTACGCGCCGTCGGGCGGCAAGGAGGCCAAAATTGAATGCAAGGTGGAGCAGAGCAGCACGAGAAGGGTTCGGGAAATCATGGCTTCTAGGTACTAGCACTTACAGAGTAGTTTCGGTTTGGTGAATAAAGAGCTGTAAGCAAAGAGAGGGACTGGGTAGCTGGGAGAACTGCTATGGCCCCGCCGCCGCCCGCCGGGTTGGAATTTCCCGACGAGACGTGAGCCATTTTTCTTTGTACAATATTTCAATAATTGAGTGCTAGCTATAAAGTATTACAATATTTCAAAAAATTCGCCGAGTGATTTCTAATTTGCTTGTCAAAAGTAAAAATATCGGTAACCTTATATTCACCCGAATCCGGCCTAATCGGGTAAGGTAAAACTCGAAACCGAAGAATATTTAGTGGGTACGGGTAAAATCCAAACTCGTATATTGAGGGTAATGGGTGGACATGGATTTCTCATTATCCAACCCGAACCCGCCCGATTATCCACATGCATATGTATTTTGTCTAGAAATAATCATTATTTTTCTCTAACATATTTTATATTTGGCATATAAATATAATATTTTCATGAAATTGTCTAGTTTTAATTAATTTTCTTCCTTCTAGTGAATTATTATCGTACTTTTCCTCTTACGTAATGTGAGAATACGTGTGAATGTTAACATATTGGTTGGAGTTATGAAGAGAAATTATTACACATGGATAACTGTGGATACCCGAAACCCAAACGGTATGGGCATGGTTTTAATTTTCTGCCCATTTCACATGTGAGTTTGGGTATGGGTAAAACCCGAACTACTATGGGCAGGGTAACGGATATGCACTATCCGCGGCCGACCCGACCCATTGCCATCCCTATGTCAAACCGGTTTATATCGTTGTGTCAGTTTAGCAAGTGGAATGGTTCGATCAGTGGTACAATTGGTATGTGACGGTTCATGCGAGCTTAACAAAATATGTAGAAATGTGAAAACCATTAACAATAAATAAATTTAATCATATATAAAAAAACATATTTAAAGACAATTTACTTACAATTCATTTTAATATTTAAATAAAATAAGATATTTCGAATAAAATTACCAATACTCATAACATATAATGTAAATACCTAAACATTTATACTTGAATCCAACAAATAATGGTCAACATTTAACTTTTAAAGTCATAAAATATATGATAAATTAATTATTTATTAATTAAATTCAGTAAAATGACGTTATATTTGCTTAGATATCGTAACTCGATCATGTCGCTCATACCGGTATTGTTCACGACGGTTTTATAAACAATCGCGGTTGAACCAGATTCAACCAGTGGCATGTCGGGCGGTGTGACAACCAATCTAATTTATGATTGAGAAAAATAAAAGCGAAATACACATGAATTGCCATAATTATCCACGTTTTGACAATGATAGTCACTTTTTCAAAAAATAATAGATATAGTAACATTTTTAAAGTTGTTTGACAAATTTAGCCATTTTCATCAAATACTTTAACGTTGTCAACGGCCTCGTCAGTTAATTGAACTGTGGATGCCAGTTGGATGATACATCATGTCCACTTAGACTTGTCATGCCACATGGATGCCACGTCACAATTTAAATTAATAAAATATGATATATCACCATCTCTCAAAATTGATTATATAAGGATGTGAACTCATTTACCATCATATGTATTGATGCTATGATTTCATGTCATGCTTGTGTTAATGCTTATGAAATTTTGATGCTTATTATGTATGCATGGATATATGGTTTTCAATGCCTATATGATGATCATTGTTGTTTATCTAGTATGAATTCTCCTATATCATCAGTGTTTATGATTCTATAGTGTGTTACTATATGCATTGTGCTTAGTGATTCAGGTCTATTTGTACACTTTTATTTTCCTTAGATGTTTGTGGTACTTTTACTCCGTGAGGTTCGGTTTTACGCTAGGTTGTGGTTGTTTTTAGTATGTTTCAGATCCTAGCAGGTGAAATCAACCCATGGAACAAAGTTGGACGAAAAGGGGCGGAAACCGATCAAAAGGGAGCAACAGCAGCAGTTCACGGTGGAGACCTAAGGTTCACGATCATCTAGACTGTGAAGAAAAGGCGTGGGTTGTGAAGAGCGAAGAGTCCATAAAGGTTTTGTTCATCTCGCGGGCATAAAGCAGTTCATAGTCGCTCGACCGTGAGGACCATCTACAGACCGTGAAGCACCTTAATGAAACGACGCGTCTTTGCTCGACATCACGGTCTGAGCCAAATGTTCACGGCCGTGAACTGGGACTGTGAAACACCATCAATTTGGGTATATAAAGGGGGTCGACTAAAAGAGAAAAGGGAGGAGAACCTATTGAGAGAGACTTCTTCTTCTTCTTCAGATTTCTAGAGTGAGAAAGTGACGAACAAGAGAAGGGGAGAAGTTAGGGTTTCATCCAAGAGCAAAGTTTTGGGAATTTCTTCCTCCAAGGTTGATCTCCACACCACTAAGAAGAAGGCAAACATCTCCAAGATGGTTTTCTATCTTCTCCCTTGTGTATTCCCTCTACTTAGCATCGAGTAGACTTTTCTTTCACTTGGGGGTTTGTAAACCCTAGCTAAAATTATGTGAATGCTTGTATGAATTAAATGACTTGTGTGTGGTTGTGTTTTAATACAAGTTATGAGGTATTTTTATAAAGATTGTGTTGTGTTTTTGCATTTCCAATTCTTATGCCATATTGACCTAGGTAGAGGGAAATTCCCTTATTGTTAAGAGGCTTGTAAAAGCTGGAATTCCTTGGCCGATTGGTTCACCTACCTAGGTTGAATTAGAAAAAACCTCTTAATATGTATTAGCACCTTGGGTAGTTTGTAATTTGGTCATCTGAACTATGGTTCGGGGGTGAAGTCTAAGCATCCCTTAGTCGATTTGGACCAAGAGAGCTACCTTGGTACCTTGATTTGAAACCCCTTGGCTTACTGACTGAGAGATTGACGGTTGTTCACTTGTTGCATTTTCCTACGATTTAGAACCGCCTTTACCACACATTTGCATTCGATCTGACAAATCATGATTGTTAGCTAGGGGAACAACACTCGGGTGAAGCCTTCTCAATTAGTATTCAGATCATATACTTTTCCAATCGTTTTAGTTATAAATCGTAGTTTTAACCAAAACCATTTGCTAGATAATGTTTCAAACAATTGAAGTAGGAGTACATGGACCGGCCCGGGTTTGACTTTTAAAACATATTTGCCCTATATTACACCCGGTTAAAGTTTATACTTGGGCCTCAATTGGGATTTTTATTGTGGTATTCGGCATGAGTCAAGTTTTTGGCGCCCTTGCCGGGGACCTTTTGGTCCTTTATTTTGAAAAGATTGTTTGGTGTTAATCTAGCGTTTACTTTTTGTTTTGTGATTGTGAATCTTGCTTGTAGACGAGTTGTGTTTCTTTGAAGTGTGTGCAAGAGGGTGTATGACCTGGAGTAATTTGAAACCTTTGGCGCCACTAAACGAGAACCTCAACCGCACTCGCCGAAGTGGAAGAAGTTGTAGTTGAGGAAGAGGAAGGAAGTGAAGTCGAGATGACGGCTAATCAAAATGCTCAAGAAGGAGCTGAGGAATCGAGGACCATGGGCTACTGCATGGCTCCACTGGTGGCAGACATTCAACTAACCATTTTGCATCCACCCGTGGCCGCCAACAATTTTAAGATCAAGCCCGACCTCGTCACAATGATCCAAAACAATGTGCAATTCCATGGGCTTAAAGATGAGTCTTCGACGGAGCATGTTCAGAGGTTCATCGAGATTGCGGGAAGTTTGAAGATCAATGGGGTGCCCGAAGATGCTTTGAAGTTGAGGCTACTCCCCTAATCTTTAGCGGGGGATGCACACATATGGCTCAACAATAGACCACCTCTCTCGATTACCTCATTGGATGACTTGCTCAACAAGTTTATGGCCCGATATTGTCCACCTTCTAAGACGGCGGAGTGGCATAAGAAGATCACCCATTTCTCCCAAGAGGAGGATAAGACATTGAGGGACGCGTGAGAAAGGTACTTTGACTTTTTCCTCCAATGCCCAAATCACGGGTTTGAGGAGCAGTTTCGGATTGAGACCTTTTACGGCGGTCTCTGATAATGGTTGCAAAGTCATTACCATTCGATGTTAGAGATTTGGTATGTTTCAGGACAAGGAAATAAGAAAATATGGATGCACAGGCAAAGGGTGAAAAGCTCATAAGCAAACCGGTTTTGCATGGCTTTCTTCAACCCATGAGAAAGGGTAACGGATGAACTAAAGTACTAAGGTTTATAATATCGGGACTTGAACTCTTCTGAAGCAAAACCTAATTAATTGGGCTCAAGCCCAATCAATGTGAGAGCCGCACAAATTGAAGGGAAATTCCCTGGGTGTGGAGACGAAATTGCTTTTGGAATTGAAGAGGGGGGAATTCTTTGGGGACGGAATTAATTGGAGCTTGCAAGCAACTGGGGAGGGACTTGTTGAGCGGAGAACAACTAGGAATAAAGCAGCATCGCAGAGAATCATTGGCCGGGGCGAAAGCTATCGAACGCGAGTGGAGAGAAGCAGTTGTTGCGGCAATCGCGAGCAGCGAGTAAGAAAATTTCAGTATTCTTTTTATTTTTCTTTTATTAGTTTAATGATTATTAAGAACATGATTATATCTTTTGATTTTTTCATGAAATAAACTCCAAATTTCTGGGGGAAACATAAGAGGATGTAGCTATTTCTTGATTTGATGGATTATTCATATTTCTCTTCTTCCAATCTCTATTGCATGGAATCGCTTAATGCTTTGTAGTTAATTAAGTTATTAGCGATAGTAAAACCCTAATTACTGAACCTATTTCATGTGACATAGTAACTTATCAAAGCGACAGTGGATTAAATAAGGTACTTTGCGGTCTTGATTGGGATATCGATCTTCAGGCTAAATAATTAACTCAATGAGCTACGACAGTAGGATTTGATTTAATTGTTTAGTACGTAGTAATTCCCGACAGGGATAGCTAGCACAGTAGAGATATTCTGGCTGTAGAGAATTGGATTAAACTGATTAGATTATGTGAATTAATCTGTATAGGATACGTAGTGAGTCCCGGTGCTTCTCCCAAAGCTTTCTCCATTGAATTTCTCCTGACAGTTTTCATTTAGTTAATTTGTTTATTTTATTTTGCTTTTAGAAATTAGTCTCATTAAACTATTTTCGCTTATAGTTTGCTCATAAAATTGATATAATTTAAGGT